CCACAAAATTAAATTCAAATTATACCTTGTTCTTGAAATATTTCTGTGAGAAAATTGGAATCCAAAGCTTGTGAAATTAATGTTTGTATGTACACCTCAAAATTATCTTGATATTTTTCAGTATCTTTCATGGACTTATCAATACATTCGCTACAAAGCAAGAAAATACGATAACTTCCTTTTTTGTTTATTTATCGGATATTAGTAGAACAAAACCTACTTATCATCAATGATCATTTCATCTCTTAAAAATTCTACTACAGTTTCCGTTTTGCCTTGTTGCCAAAACTTTACTGGAACTTGTTGATATATATGCCGATTTTGCGGTGCCCAACCCGAATACTAGAACATAGTTGATATGTATATATCGAAACAGAGAAAAATTAATTAAGTACGTTTTATGCATTACCGTAGATATGTTTCTGTATAATGTCTTGTCATTTGCTTTAAATGGTTCATATTTTTGGAGCAATGTTTTGCCATCTATTCTCCAAAGTGGAGGATATTCTTCATCTAAATCAGCCTTGATTACAACAAACTCTCCAGACTGAAAAATATACAATATTATAATTAAAATAAAAGGTCATTAATAACAAAAATATTTATAAGCTGTTTAAAAAATAGTTAAAACTTTTTATTGACATCTATAGATACTGTTTTACAAAATCACATTTATAAGAAAATTACCACATCTTCTAATTCATCCTCAGTGCGCTGCATGTAATATATGAATATACATTGTATATATATTGTACTTGTAGGTAAGTCATGTTTATATCTGTGTATATAAATTCAAATTAATAATGAAATCGTTTATTGATGTACCTTAAATGGTGAAATATCAATGTCTTCATCACTGATACATGCTAAAAGTTTTTCATCTATTTTGCAAGACAACTTTCCAGTAACATTGGAAGTTTTTGATGGCGTTTCATGTTTCTTTCTACTTGACTTCTTTGAAACAACAACATCATTGGAAGAATAATCGTCGTCTTCCAAAACTTTCCTGCTTTTTTTAGTAATCACAGGTCTCCCGCGTTTTTTCTTCTTTTCTTCTTCATCTCCAACCAATTTTACAGCAGGTGTCCAAGCAGGGTCAGAATCAGAATCACCCTGTTCTTCGTCATTATCGAAGTAGTCTATACCCTGTTGTCGATCCAAAAATTGTTTCACCGAAGTTTTTTCCTTCGCCTTTCTTCTAGACGTTTCACGTCTTGGAGGCAAAAGTAAAGGATCTACTGTATAAAAAAAGAAAATTAAATCACAACGCATAATGTATTATTCCATTAAAAAAGAAATAACATATACTCTACCTTCTTCATACTTTTTGGAAGCTTTACCAGTTGTAATAATTGCTGCTTCTGCCGCCGCTGCTGCTGCTGCTGCAGCTCTTCTTTTTCTATCTGTTGGTCCTCCAGGTTTAATTGGCCTTCCTTTTTTAGGTCTACCTTCTGGTTTTATAATTGTTGTTTCTGTTGTATTTGATGTATTTGTGTTTGTTACTTTTTTATCGGGTTTTTTAGGAGGAAATAGAAAATCATCATCGCTCGTAAATCCATCATCACTCGAATCAAAATTTTGTTTTTTCCGTTCTTTCGGTAAAGGGAAATATCTTGGATCATTAGTATAATCAATGACTGGTGTTTCTTTAGGCGGAGGTAGCTTTTCCAATTGTGTCTTTACTGTTTCTCCATTTGTTGAACTTTCTACTGATTTGTTAGATTCCATAGGAATATAAGGTTTTGACCTACTCCAAGTTGCTTTCCTACCACCACGAATTGCAGGTGGAGGTGAAGGTTCTCTTTCACCTTGTAAGAATTTTAAGTAACTTGTCATAAATCCTGAATTAGGATCCTTATTAGATCGTTTAAAATCTTTGTTTAAGGTGTTTATTGTTTGAACTGATTGTTGATTTTGTTGCAAAAAACCCAATTCTTCTTCAATATTAGGAACAATTACTTTAGGCTGATCATCCCTGATTTCTTGATTATAGTTAGCATTCTGGTTTGCTGCATTTTCACCAAAACCAATAGGAGTAACTTCGACAGAAGATTGAAATTCATGTGGATGATGATGGCTTGGTGGAATATGAAAAGCAGGAAAATATGGAATAGGAGGTGGAGCATGATGGTGAGGGACCATCAATGATTGATGCTGATGTGCTGGTGTACCAACAAAATTGCTTGAGTGGTGCAAAGTTGATTGTGAACTAAAAGCACCAGATGCACCAGGAAACATTTTAGTAGGGGGTGGAGGTAAATTCCATCTTTCAAAATCAAAGTATCCATTTTGTTGTTGTTGATTTGTATTATGATGCGCAGGTGGTGGTATCCTACTTAAATATTCTGTCATTGTTGTTCCACCTATTTCATTCAAAGAATTATGTCCACCTTTTTCTAAACTTTTTCTTTTTTTATTTGCAGTATCCACTTTGCGTCGTTCTTCCGCTTGTTTCTGTTGTTCGGTTGGAGCAACAGAAACAGTAGTTTGCTGTTGTTGTACTTGACAAGAACCTTGTAAAGTCTGCAAATTTTTTACTATACTCATAGGATCTCCTCTGCAACTACTTAAATCTTGTAGAGTTACTTGATTGGATTCAAAATATGACTGTTGTCTATCAGAAACATTTAGCACTCGTTGTACTTGTTGCTGAACTGGCAAAGTTTGAGGATTAATTTCAGGATTTCCACCAGTATATAAAGTAACAGAAAACTTTCTGTTAGCGTTTGATTGACGATTATCATTTTCCCAACACGCTTGTTTTTGCGTTTGTGAAAAGTCTTGTTGCTGTCTGTCATAATTTTTACTATCTGTGTTATAGTTGGCTTTATTTTCAGCAGTACCTAAAGCCCTTGTGATGACAGATGAATAAGCAACTTGACCTTGTGATGCTGGTCGCGGTACAGTAACGTCCAATGGTGGTGTAACCTGTTGTTGTACAGTTCCTTTATACGATGGTCCATTTGCACATTGATTTCCGTTTTCTGCATGTTGTTGTAAAGGTGATGGAGAAGATATTGTAGCCATTGGGCTATTGTACATAGGATAAGCAGGGCTTGGAACATGTCCTAATGGACTTGCTTGAGAATGTGCTTGCAATGGACTTGGCCTTCTTGGCACAACAACACTACAATCAGGTCCATTTTGTGTGGAATTATTAGAAGAATAAGCAGAATCAGTAGAAGTTGCAGATTTGGATCTTCCTGAATGGTGGTATTCAGAATCAGCTGTAGAGCCTGTTAGATAATGTCTATATGATGTTTGCTGTTGCTGTTGCTGATTTAAAACATGAAATTGTTGTTGTGGTTGCTGCTGCTGTGGTTGTTGAGAGTGAGTCTGTAGGTTGCTGTTTGATTGAGTTCTTTGATTGTTGTTAAGTTTTCCACTTGCATTTGTACAACTTGTATTATTTCCAACAGTATAGTTTAAGCCACGTGAATCCATAATAGAAAAGCTGATAGGAGATGATTGGGTGTTATCATGGGACGTCTGTTCGTTTCGTCTATGTTCACTGTGAGTATTTAATTCTGGATATATTTTTGTCTGTGCTTTAGTTTGAATATTTTGTTGAGATGTAGATGTTGCTTTATTAGGAGGTGAAGCGAAATTTCGAGTTGATTGTTTATCTTGAACTTGTGAAGACACAGATCTTACAGATGTATTTAAAAATATAGTTGTTGATGCAACAGATCTAGCAGGTGGTTGAGGAATTCTGTACTCTTTAGTGGCTGTATTATTTGTAGTTGAAACAATGCATGATTGTTGATGCTGAAGAGGAGGCTGCACCTTCCCATTTGGTGTTTGACTTCCATTACCAGCAGAATAATTGTTTGTTAATGTTTCGGAATGAAATGTAGTAGGTACTTGTTGAAAAAAAGTTTGATTGTTGTTTGTTTGTGATGTAGAAACTACTGATTTAACGTTTACTATTGGTGATTGAGGCCTTACATTTACTGCCTTTTTATTATCTGGAAAACTGGAAGATTTAAAATCAGCAGCAGAAACAGAAGGTGTAGACAATTGAGAATTTAAATTATTTATAGCTTGTGTTGTAGCAAAATGAGAATTAAACGTATTTTCGTAAACACCACTAGTTGGTTTTGTAGTAGATGATGGTCCAGGAGATGATGAAACAACACTTTCATGAGGCAAAATACCAAATGGGCTAGGAAGTTGTGTATTATTCTGATGAGTCCAGGCCAATGTAGATGTTGTAGGTGATGTAGCTGCACCCTGATGTTCAAAAAATGTTGGTTGGTGCGCAGAACTATAATTCTCTCTTAATACAGGAATATCAGATTCCGTTGCAGTATTTTGTTTTGTTACTGACACTACTTGTGCTTGAGCAAGAGCTTGTCTATGTTGAGTAACGTAATGTGCTTGTTTAGGATTAGGATGATGAAACAAAGGTGAGAAAACATCATATCCCACAGGGGGTGGTGACAAAAACCCCCCTGGGTTAAATGGAGATGGCTGACCCGCCAGAGTTGCTGTTGTATGAGCTGCTTGTAAAAGTAATTGTGACGTTGTTGAAGGAACTGCTTGAGTAGCAGTTGTTGCTAAATGATGAGACACAAAATCACTGCTTGTGCTTGAAGTCGTTGGTTGAAATGTACTGGCTGCACTACTTGCTGCAAGACGATTATATGATGCATACCATGGACGAACGGGATCCATTACCCAAGCTTGGCACAGTAGTGCCTAGCCTGCTTGGTCCACGTATAGCAGGTTTTTGTATGTATAAATGTTACACATATAGTATGTGATATTCATAACACAACTTTCTGTCAAAACTTTTGTACATCCATTTCTTATATATAAATAGAAAAAACTACCAAAAACTTTTTCACTGCATATACGGTCTATAAACTTTGATCCAATAATCAGGACTGACAATATGATATAGCAGTTCCTCCATTTTAATCTACAAAAATAAATAACTTTTATGCATAGTTTAATAATACATAAAATAAATATTACATAAAACACAAATTATAAAAAAGTTGAAATGACAGAGAGTTATAACCATGTAATTAGGCCTTATAGACAATTAAGGATAATTTTGTGACAAGTGCAATAAAATCATTTACACCAATATTAATAAAACAATGAAAATGTTATGAATATACTTTAAAATGTTCTGTAGAAAATTGTATAGATATAATTTAAATACCACTTAGTAAACAAATTGTCAAATGATACATCATAACAATGGATATGCTGTCAAATTTTTCATTACAGGTAACACATTAATGATTACAACATTACAATTATGTAAACGTATAAATTAATAAAATTAAATTATGATACATAATAATATATGTAAATTAATAAGAAAAATACTTACATTTTTCGTACAATCCTTAATGCACTACACAACACAATGTGTGCTATCAAGGATAACAAGGAAACCAATGTGCTCCGATATACCGTACGACTTGTACCGTTTTCAAATTCAAGAAACAGTGGTCTACGTACAGAAAAACTAATAACAAATGTGCGCCGTTTTTGAAGAATCGAAGAGAACCCAGTGTAGCGTCTTTTCATGTCCCATTGTACTAGGGTCCTCAAATGTTTCATATGTGTGTAATCGCTCTTTATTAGAGGTAACAAAATCGCCACATTTTTTATCAAAAACTAATATTGAGACGATGATTTTACCTTCAATAATAAATAGCCATATGTCTTGACTACCAATTACATTTGCCGGTGTACAAGATATAATGTCTTGCCGAATAACACAATAAATATGGCTACACACACTTGGCCAATGCACGACACACGATCGGCTGGCACTGTGATTGCGCTCACATGATTTAACTATCCGAAGAAAAGTGTACATTCCGTATACACCCTAGACTCGGTACTCGCATACACACTGCGGCGAGTTAACTTCACATGGGCTCATTTATCGCGGGGAATCGAACAATGTTATCCCGCAGTGCCCATTATAGGCCGCCATTTTGAGCGGAATCAACAATAAACTGCGCCATCTACCGATTGTGGATTAGAGAAAGGGATCAACAGGCGGGATTTTTCAAGAAAATCAGGGGCAAGCATTTTCCCCTTAATCGACCTCGGCTCCTGCAGAACTTTTATAAGCAATTCCACTTTTCATAAGAGAAAATTACTCTTTTACGACATTATTCAATATTTTTGTGTATATTGAATTTGCTTTCATTTTTTCCTTCTTTGTTATACTCTTATAAAATTTAAATGCAATTCAAGAATTTATACAAGTTTAAAAAATATCTACACACGCGCGCGCACGCGTACACACACGCATTCCAGCATAAATACAATACGCGTACAACCTGTTGCTTAAAAAAGTACTTTTCATATTAATTGTTATTTTTTTATAGTCCTAATTATGTTATGTTTTAGTAATTGAGATATGTCATGTAATGGATTCAATTAATTCCCTGCTGCTATCATATATGAAGAGATAGAACAACTAAAATCTATAATTCAATAGGGTATTATTAATTAAGTACTAGTATTCACAATAATAACATTTATTGTAATGATAATGTAAGAATATATTTATAATCGACATTATAATAATAATCATAGCGTAACTTGCGAGTATGATCGCAGAATTTCTTTACTGATTGATTTAGGTATCACCCATCTAAATAACTGCCAAATTATTGCTACTATAGGGAAAGTGAGTAGGCAGTTTATGAAATTTCATGTTGCAAAATGCTTTACCCATTAATACAAAAAAAAAAAAAAAAAAAAAAAAATTCAACAATTAAGACACTTAGTTGAGTATATCGCAGATATCGTAAAAAGTATACCGATGCCACTGCGTATTAGTCAGTGAATTTCCAAATAACAAAAATTTGTGAATATCATTAAAGTGCAAATAACATTATACAAATTACACTTTTAGGCATCATATAAAGTGTGTTTTTCTTTCTTGTAGTTATAATGTGATAAGAAAAAGTTAGTGTCTTTATTCTATTGACATGAGTACAAAATATTTATAATGAAAAAGAAAAATTCAAAGTGATGAAACTTATCTATTAAAGCTTAATGATACAGTGGCGGTATCACAGCTACTTTGATATCGTACAATATTTAGATATTTCTCTTCACACATATTTGTCTAAATAGTTGCATTTTATAAATTTTAGACGTTTCATACGCTTTTTTTTCTTTTTTTTTTCTTTTTTTTTTTTTTGAAAATTTATAAATATTAACTTTATTCTATACTTAATGATTTTTTTTATAGTTCTGAATTTAAATTCCTGGAATTTTGTTTAGCTTCAACATGATATTAGTAATTAATAAGTCGTGCAACATGATATACAATAACCTATGAAAAGAAAATAAATAAACTATAAGCTATGTTACGAAAATATTAATGAAGTGAAGTATCTTTTACAAATGAAATCAAGTAACACGCTTATGAAAATTTGAAAACAATAATAAACACGATTATGTAAGAATAAATAAACAATATGTGGCAGCATAGGATGCATGACACGATTCAGCTTTGGTTTTTGTGAAATACACCCATATTAATCCCTAATTACGGTAACATTATAAAATGCAATATATATAGGTTAAACAATATTGCTCTGCTTTATTCACGTTGTTTTTAATTATACGACAAATTATTCAATGGCTACCTCATTTGCATTTTACGTTGTTGCCAAACTGCAAATTTTCTATATGCTGTATTTAGTAACTGATTTAAGTGACTTGTTAAATGTTGACTAACAGCGGAAAAGTCTCGTTGAACACGATCCTGGGAAAACAAATTTTTGAAATATATAAAATAACATGTAAATATATGTATCATGTACATTAACTTTAAAACTTACTTCAAAAGGTTTAAGTTTTGCAGAATGAAATCTGTGTAATGCTTCGTGCATTCTAATTGCCTTCTCTTCGAGCTGTGGTGTTGTAGGTGGAAAACTACGCCAAAAATGCCTTAGAAGTTCACAGGTACACACATATACATTACGTAATTCTTTTTCTAAATCCTTTGGTATTAATTCTGTAATCAAAATAAATTATGTATTGCATGATATAACCACTTTTTAAACGGTTTAGTCATTTTTACGAAGTTTATAACATATACTTACGTCCAAGACTTTCCTCCCTAAAGCCTTTCATTAAAGAGCCACCAGGAGTTAATTCTCCCAGAGCTGAAACTGCTGCAGCTGGACTAACTAATGATGTTGCTAATTGTCTTGGTATACTGTTTGCTGTCAGCCAACTACTTGCTTCCCTTTTTAATTGATTTAACGTCATAAGAAGTTCCTCGGATGACGGCTCTGTATTGCCATACCCTGGCACTGGGCCATGCAAATACCTGTCTATATGTGTCAAATTTAATGGTGCACTACTATTTGTGTTTGTATCATGTGTGGTGTCGAGATCATCATAAATTAATTTTTCTTGTATTCTAAGCTGAAAATAAAAAAATATATATACATACAGTTATTAAATGTCTTATTTCATATACAAATATTACATGCATTTACAAGTTTACTTTTTTAATCTTTGGTCGTTCATCTAACTGATTAGAGAGTGCTGTAGTTTTACTTGCTGATGGAGTTGATCCATTTAATTGTGGCTGAATGGATTGTATAGGTTGCTTGGCAGTGCTGGCCTTCAAAACCATAATGCTGTGTTGATTGAATCTCTTGATCATACTTTGATGTACAATGTTTCCTGAAACTTTGTCAGATTTACTGGGTCCATTCCCATAATTCTCATCTAGAGTTTGATCTTCAAAAGAAGTTATATCCACCAATGGATCATCAATACCCGATTGGATATCTTTCTTAAGTTCTTGATCATCTATTTTGGCACATTCGGTAAAAAGATCCTTGGTCCCTGCATTGATACGATCTCGATGAAAATAATGTGACTGAAAGAACTTTGTCCAAAAATCAGATTCTGACAGTTTGTGAGGCACATTTTCTTGATGTTTTCTCTTTACAGCTGGATAAGTCTTAAATATACATTCTATTATATCAACAGTTAAATTATATTTCAATCCATTACAACCATCTGTTTGTGGTTTTATATCAGCCTATGAATAATAAAAGTTTAATTATTATTCAACATTTCCTTTTACTTAATTTGTTCTTTTATAGTAAAAATTTCTTACCAAAAAAGCACTATTTACACCTATTTCTTGTCTTTGACTTTTTTTAGCTTGGGTATATTCTGCAGCATGTTGTGACCAAAATTCTTCAGATGTAATAACTTGTGTAATAACTAAATCTCTGTACAATTGAAGCAGTACAGGATTTTCTTGAAGCATTCTAGTAAATAATACCATATTTTACTATATGAGTGCAATGCAAAATCATTATAGTATCAAGAATCTTACCTATTCTTTTCTTCCAATTCTTTATTCACTTTTCTCTTAAATTTTGGTAACAATTGTTGAAGTAATTCTTTCACATCATCACGATCTTTAATTTGTGCTTCTTGCCCATTTCTGTTTACAAAGTGAAATGTAGATGACGAACCATCATGTAATACAACTTGTAATTGTATTTTTGATTTTCCTTCTGGTGATATCTTTTGCACTACAAAAAAAAAACATAATATATAAGATAAGATGCTATACAGTGATGTTTTGATTACTGTTTTTCTAAGTAAAAGTTAAATTATAAATACAAATATATGCTTCAATATGGGTTAATAACATAAAAAATCAAAATATAGAATCAATGCTTGATTACATTAAAAATAAAAAATGTAGTAAATTTATAGCAATATGATTTTTCTTTAATATTCTTTTTATTAAACATTAATTTAATCATTACACGAATGTTCTTACACTTAATGTCAGCATATTTGTGACTGACAGAGACAGTGTCTCTGTTATCAAGCATCCAAGCTATTCTTTCATTCATAACGTATAATGTGCCATCTCCTTTTTTATAACGGACTTGTCCTATTTGCATTAGAACATCTTCCGATGATGTAGTCATGGCGGATGTAATATATAATACAATTCTTCTAAAAATGATAAATACAATCCTAAAAAATATATCCAAAAATAAATATGTTATATTTAAAAGAAATAAGCACAACATATAGTTGTATTTAATGTTATCAAGATAATTCTTTATCAAGTATAATAATGTTTCTATAGATCTCTATATAGACTATTGTCCCATCATATAGTATCAAAAATCAATTCATACAAAATGCTTAACATTTCAAAATGTTCAAACAAGTATTATAATACATAATTAGTAACACTTAATATGAATAATATGCTTGTTAACACTATTGAATAGATACTGTAATAATTAGATGCAATAACGAAAAAATACAACTATATATGTATGTTTTTTTTTTTTTAATTTAATCGAAATGTAATTATATTCAAGGAAAACTTATGTATTTATGAAAAAATTATTCCTGTAAAAAACGTTGTTACAATAATGATTTTTAACGATTGTATCAGTAAAACTTTGCATTAGAATCACTAAATTTTACAGTACTCTAAATGTTTGTATTTTTATTCGTCTTTACAATTGCCGTAGAAAATAAAAAAATATATTCGAAATATACAATTTTAGACAAGATGTATTAATGTACAGAATTACGATTTGTCACTGTGCGTCCTTGAATGCTACATTACAACGAAATGATTTAAAAAAAATCTTCGTTGATAATATCCCATAGCACAAAATTGTATAAAATTGAATACAGTTTTATATACAATAAGATCTCTGAAAATTTCGAAGAAATGCTAACTCTACATTGTGAACTAAACACTGATGCATTATTGCCCGTAACTCACTTTTTGGTTCATTAATTATGGTTATCGACACAAAAAACGCTTTTTGTATAGTTCAAGGCACAGAGCGCGTATTTTTTAATCGTGGGAGTAGGAAATCTAACTACAATAGGTCCATTTACCGGTGGTAAAGTGCGAAAAACCGTGGAACAATGCAGAAGCCCGTTGGGCCGCACGGCCATGTGCAGAAACACACATCAGTGGACGCATCGCGAAGCAAAGACGGCTGCGAACGGACCGTCGGTACGAACAGCACCATCGACCTGCTGAGACTACCGCACTCTGTTGTTCGATTGAACTTCCATAGAATTTCCTGTTGTTAAAACATTCTTTTCTTCTTTCTTTCTTCTTTGTATAAGCATTTCTGTTGCAACTATATTTAATTTTTACCTACTTCAACATACAATTATTAATGTAATCTCAAACCGCAAATAAGAATACTTTTTTTTACAAAAGTTGTGAATTTGATTAAAACAGCGTTAGTTATATCTGCGTGTATAATATAAGCATGCGTAGTTACATGAGGGCGCTGGAATATACGAGATTTTAATAGTTATAAAAAATATCCATGAATATACTTATAATTCTTCGTTGTATTATTGTATACGAATCTGATAATTTATTTAATTTAAATTGGTAAATATTACAAAATCCTTGAAACATTATCTAAGAAAATAGGGTTTCATATACTCTAATAAAAATGTATTTGAAAAAAGATGCCCTCTATTCTAATTTCATAGAATCGAGGAGAATGTAAATTGCAGTGTACTGATTGGTTGCTTTTCATTCATATGATTCTTAGATGCAAAATTATTCGTACATGCAATTTCATTCTAAATAAACACACTATATAATCATTATTTATAAATAGTTAATTATTAATATGTAACTATTTCTTTTGAAGTTATCTACATTGCAATTAAGTATCGTATGATTGTATTTATTCACACATCTATAGAAACATGTTTGGACAAGAATTTTGTAGCCTTAATAATAATAGAAAGATTTTTTTAAAAAACATTTAAACAAACTTAAATTGAGGAAAATGGAAGGTATAACTTAGTCTTATATTAGTTTCATATTACTTTCATCTTAGTTTTATATATTATACTTTGTAATATTGAAAAACAATCAGA